AGAGGTAGTTGCAGACATCCTCCAGTGGCTCAGTACAACTTTACCATTCGCAAATGTGGCTATTGCGGCAAGCTCTGTGAGCGCCTGGATATCTTTGAAGACCACTACATTGCTACTGGGCATTGTTTCTGTTCGGAATGCGACCTCCCCTTCGAAAGCCAGAGCGCTTGGAAAAATCACTGCGAGGTAGAGCTCCATGCTTCCGAGTATCGTTGTTGCAACTGTGACATCTCTTTCAAAGATATCCACGCCTTGAACGCGCACATGGCGAGACTTGTGCATCGGAACCCTCTCCAGCAACAGCCCCACGGCAATGCAAGAAAGGCGGAAAAAGTCACTACAGCAAGTGCGGGTGATCGGACATGCAAGAAATGTCAGCGAACCTTTCCGTCTCTTCAGTCTTTTCAACAACATTGTGAGTCGATCAAGCACAAGCCACTTAGTGCTCTAAGCTGTCCTATAGGGAAAGGATGCAAAAGAAAGTTCAGTGCACCGTCGGCTCTGCTGCACCATCTGGAAAGTGGAAAGTGCTGTTCAGGCATGGACCGTGATGACATCTACGACATCGTTCAGCTATACGACAAAGATCACACGATCCACACCCTCCCAAAACTCACGCCTTCGAGCTCCACTTACTTGTCGGCACATGGTTTATCTCCTGATTCTGGAACGCCAACAGCGTCTCTCGATAGTTCAGATGGCTGGCTACTGGTCACTCTCACGCACTCTCAGGGTGGTGTAGAGGGTAGTCTAGTAGATTGGACACCGCTTGAGGATAGTCGTCTCTCGCTTGGAAGTAGACACGTGGTTGACGGAATTAAGCCTGAACTCCGTTGTCCACTTTGTCCAAGGAAGTCCAAAGCCTTTCGTACGATACAGGCTCTTCAGCAGCACATAGTATCTCCAACACACTGTGATAAGGTCTACCACTGCCCACGTAACCTCCTCCCAATCAACTCCAGCAAGGCTGAAACAAAGCAAGGAAAAGCAAAGCAATTTACAACTCTCAGTGGACTAGCTCAGCATTTAGAGAGTGGGGCCTGCCGTGGTGGCAGGCAGACGTTCCTTCGTTGTATTGAGTTCATCCAACAGCATTTGGGGCAATGGGGACTTGGAGGGATGCGCCTTTTGTTGCCAGGCTCCCAAGATTGAAAAAGTTGGGATTTTCATTACAGACTTATAGCAACAGCGAGCAACTAGTGCTAAATTACATTAATATCTTGGACATGTTCATCAACGTGTTCCTATTGCAATAACCTATAGCTGCTGCTGTGCGCCCCTCTCGAGCAGTAGCTTCACGATCGACTCATGGCCTCCATATGAAGCTACCTGGAGTGCGTTACCAAACTGACCACCCTGCGCGTTAACATCTGCGTCTTTGTCTAGCAGTAGCTTCACAATCTGCAAGTTGCCTTTATATGAAGCCGCCTGGAGTGCGTTGCCATACTGTCCACACTGCGCGTTAACATTAGCGCCCCTATCGATTAGTAGTGTTACAATCTGTTCGTGGCCTTTATATGAAGCCGCCTGGAGTGCATCGCCATACCCTCCACCCTGACCGTCACCGGCGGCATCCTTGTCGAGAAGCAGTTTTACCATCCCTTTATGCCCCTGCTCTGCTGCCACGCACAGAAGCCAATACCAGTCACTTGCGCCTTGGTCATCGGCTCTCTCTTCGAGCAACTTTTGAGCCGTTGCCTCTTGGCCATGTCGGGCAGCCCACCATAACGCCGAGCTTTCTGAATGTCGTATGTTGTAACGGTAGAGATAACTGTTTAGCAAATGATAAAGGCGACGGTTGGTTTGTGCAAATGCGTTGATGTCTCTCTCTAATTGCAGGTTTTCCGATATGGAGCAGAGTAATTCATTCGCCAGGTGAAGAAGCGGCATCTCGAAATATGTAGGATGGCTGTGTCAAGGCTAGTTTCGACGCTGGGTAAGCGTCGTAGCCGTGCTTATCTTGGCACTACTCTCAATCTTGAGTCGGGTTAATTATGTTCCGAGCGCTTGTACAATCCGCAGAGCCACAGACCTCATAGTAAATTGTCCGTGGATAATAAGGCCAGAAATGCGGGGTCATTTTGCATTAGCTAGGATGAGTGATTTAGTTCTTATTGTTAGACGTAGTAGTTAGTCGACATGGCAGCCCTACATAAGCGCGCATAGGACTAATAGTGACTTCATGCTACGAAAGGGAAATTTTAGGGATTAGGCAAAGTCATTCTACGAAAATTCAGAGCGATAGAGACTCGAGGTTGGCGCTATAGAGAGGGAGGTCTATTAGACCTCGAAAGAAGGAGCTGTACAAACTAGGCTAGGAAATCACAATGCAAACGTAATTTTAGAGAAGAGTAGAAAATAGATTTTTAGAATTCAGTGCACGAGGTCATTTCTGTAAAATTATGGCAATATTCCTTGTACGCATAAGCTTTCTGATTGCTGAAAGTCGAAGTATCTTTCGTTTGTCTCGCCACGTAGTGTCTCGCTACGCAGTAAGGGACGTTAGAGACGATCTCAAGACAAGCAAATCCGTCAGAAGTGGCTGTTTTAGACAATCAATTTCTAAGATATTATCTGCTGCACTAAGAGCGCACGACAATGCTGGTAATGCAGCAACAAGGCGTGTTTGATCAAGCTATTTACAGCCTTGATAACCCTTACTTTATCTATGCAAGACTTCCGCGTTTGAGACGATGTATGTCTTCAACCACTGTGCTACCTTGTTTGCCTTTATGTGCATTGAGTAACAGGACACGTTCTCAATACCTTCCTTTGAGGGGTTACATCGGCAGAAGAAAACCATATGCGTAAGGCTTCCGTAAACAGCGTGATACAGGTCAGGATCATCCCTCGTGCTCCTATACAAGACTGCCTGGAACAGACCGCCTTTGCGTTCTCGACGTCGGTATTGGTACCCGTGATCGCCATGTGGAAGCAGTAGGTGCTCTCGTTCTTGATAACTATGACTATAACTTCAGAGTCTCCTTGTCCCGGCTCTTCGATATAGGTAGTATAGTTTTGGTTGGTCTCATGCGAGAGCTCAAGAACACATTGAGCTATCAGGCCATGTAGGCTGTTCCGAGTTACTCTCCCAGAAAGACACCTAGGATAATATTCATCATACCTCGGCATCGCGTGGTAGAACAACTGGCTGTAACTTTCCGCAGTCAACCTCTAGGGGCGCAAATTTTAGGTCGAAGGCCAGTGTGGCTCAGCAAGCCAATACAAGTACCAAAATAGAGAGCAACTACGTCGCTGTAGTAGAGAGATCCCCATGGAAGTACAGCTCATATATCTGTCTAGACACGAAAACGAGAACTGTCTCACAAGAATGCTGGAAGAGTGACAACACGTTGTTAGCAAACACGACAATGATGCAGCTAACCGTTTGTTGAGGAAGCACACAACACGGTTACCAACACTAGGGACATTTTGATTGAACAACTCACGCCACCTGTGAAAAGCTCAATCGCTATGTCAAGTTTTGGATTTTATTCATAATCCAAGACGACAATATAGGTCTAGCAGCAACTATAAGAACGTCTAGGGGACACAGTTCCGTGAATTTCTTGAGCATGTCGTTGCAAGTGCGTCTTGTCTACCAAGGGCACCATACAAAGCTTGCAGCCAAGATCCCTCCCACTCTGCATGTTTTTTAGGTGCTTGCGTCCAAAATGCTTGCTAAGATCGCCTGGAGTGCTAAAAGCATATATGCGCTGTGCCAGCGGCAGCCCTTCATTGCCTAGGCAAAGGAAACATACCCTCGGCCTTTTTTCCTTGTACACAGAGACTTTGGCTAACTCTACTGCTTCTTCCTCGTATCCTGGTTGGCTCTTGGCGGGTAGGGCAGCGTTCCTGCTTCGGTCCCCTTTTCGGACAGGGTTCATCCCCCCCTCTTCCATGCCACAATATAGGGTGACCGCATGGATAGCGCAATTACGCCTGGCGACCTCCCCTTCCATAGTGGCTCCTGGTTTCGACAAGACTGAGTCGCATAGCTTTTCTTGGGCTGGGAGCATAATGTCGTGAACCAGCTCCAGATCATCATTAGTTTCTAACCCAGCAAGCTGCCGCTCGACATCACGCACAGGCTGCTCAAACTCCCACCGTTCTTTAACGTCCTTGAGGAGGGCGTGCCGCCGACGCTGCCTCTCCTGGTTAATCTTGGTGGTGAGCGCTTTGTACTTGGGCTGTTTTGTTGCATTACGAACGGTACGTTTGAGGCGCTCTCGTTGGTTGAGAAGAGAGCAGATAGAAGGATCATCGTCTACAGATGCAGACTGCTCCTCCGTGAGTCTTCGTGGTCGACGACGATCAATCGAGCGGCTCATAGTACAAGCCGACCGCATGAGGGCTGCTTGCGGCTGGATGCCTCTTACAACAGCCTGCGTATCAACTGTAATACGTCGCGAAAGGTAATGCTTCAAAAATGTCGCGATGCTGGCATGACCCATCATCAGGTTCTGCATAGCCTCACTAACATTACCTACCCGGTGCGTTAAGACTACATCCTGCATTATGCAACTTAGACTGAATAGATAGACTTACCGTTTTCGTTGAACGCCTTCCCTCCGGCGTATCTCAGCGAATAAGGACGGGTGACTTGAGCAAATCCCGTGATCTCACCCAAAGTCCGGATCCATGGAAGTAGGGTGGAGTAGGGGAGAGGTTCGGTAGGGGAGATATCCCAACCATTCAGAGTCTGCACCGCTTTCCGAAACACGGGAACATTGTCCAACGTCCGATTCAGGCGTAATGGGAGCTCATTGCGGCCTGGCGGAATCTTGAGTCTGCTCAATTCCTCTGGCGAGGTTAGATTATAGGCTGCAAACGCCCGATCGCGGAAGAGCAGGCCGAGGAGGAAGACGTGAGGACTGAAGAGGAGCGTCTGATCGAACATAATCTCAGGAAGGGGGAAGGTGTTCCTTAAGGAAAAGTCAGCGCATGATTTTCTTGTACACAATGATCACGTACAGGTCTTTGATACCAAGAAACTCCTTTGTAAATTCAAAAGTGAACTCCAGCAGTACTCGATGAGGGCCACCCTCAGGATCACGTAGAAGTGTAACTTGTATATGGCGATAACAGAGACTGAGGAGAGCCTGGGGCCGGTTCGCTGTAAACCCACCAAGTTGTAGATAGAGCTGGGCTTGTATCCTATAGCGACCGTGAGGATATCTCTTTTCGGTTGTTACTAGATTCGTTTGCAGAACTTGAGCCAGATCCTCGACATACATGCAGGCTTTATCTCGACCGATCTTCTTTAGATCGTGTTATTATTATTATTATTATTATTTTGGTTTTACGTCCTGTCTCAGCCGGTGGGCTATATA